TATTATTTCAATTTCACGTGGGGGGTTGTTTCGGCTGGGAAGCGTGCAATCTGTGATCCAGAATTAGATCAAACAAAAGGTGTCCATAGGAACGAAGCTTGTGAAACACACACGCCATGCATTATAGCCTAAAACATGCTTAATATTCGTGACTGACACCAACGATTGTATGCATCTATGCAGTGGAGATGCGTTCATTGTCAAATATCATTCAGCATTCATTTTGAAATTTTGTCAAATATTTTTTCTTGATTACAAGAAAAAAACTATTGTTCTTGTTGTGATTTATTTCTTGTTTTTCATTTAATTCATAAGTTACCACTGCAAATTAAATGGTTTGTTTTTTTCTGACTTAGCTGTATTTTGAACAACTCTTAAGCTTCACTGTCTCTTTAATTTTTGAGTTTAGGGTTCTTATTCTATTTTGCTTTTAGCGTTATTACTTTCTATACCGTTTAGACAAACCAAATAAACCCTTAAACAAGATACAATGTTATATACCCAAAATTCAACCAAATTGGAACTTCTTGACACAACTAAAATGTTAAAATAAAGATAAAAATAAATCCAAAATTTACATCCAACTCACATTCAATAACATTCAATAAACAATACTCTTGTGTGCGATTTTCTCTTCCTCCACAGATGGTGACAAGAAACCACAAGGCAATAACAAGTCCCTATGGAGTGTCCGCAAAGATCCTTCTTTCCCTTCTGGTTTCACGATGTAAACAGGAAGTTCACCAGCACGGTTCACCACGATGTATACTTCAGAGTCCCATTTATCTGCCAATTTGTGCTTCCCTCGGTGACGCACATTCCTGACGAGTACTCGATCACCCACATCAAGTGAAGACTCTGTCACTCTTTTGTCATACCGTGTCTTGTTCCTTGCTGCAACCTTTGCTGCATTCTTTCTGGCAAGTTCGTAACTCTCCTGCAAATGAGTTTTCAACGCTTTCAATACTGGGAATGGAACTCATTATGGCTGTTATTCACAGGTACTCTAAAAGCGAGGTCTATTGGCAACCTGGGCTGCCGGCCAAACATTAACTCATATGGAGTGAATCCTGTAGTTTCGTGTTTAGTGCAGTTATATGCATGCACAACATGTTTCACAAAGTCTCTCCAATGGGTTTTGTCCTTGTTTCTCAGAGTACCCAACATACTTAACAGTGTTCGGTTGAACCGTTCAACCGGGTTTCCCCTGGGATGATACGGTGTCGTCCTAACTTTCCGAATACCAGCAATCTCACATAGCTCTTTAATGGTCTTACTCTCAAAATCAGGCCCTTGATCACTATGAAGCCTTTCAGGTACACCATAGTGCACCATGAAGTTTTCCCAGAGGCTTTTTGCGACTGTCTTGGCCTTCTGATTTGGTGTAGGGATCGCTACAGCGTACTTCGTGAAATAATCAGTTATCACCAAGATGTCCTTTGTATTGCTACGATCTGGTTCCAAAGATAGGAAATCCATACATACCAACTCAAGTGGCCTAGATACCTGAATATTCACTAATGGCGCTGCTCTCTCAGGTGTAGTCTTTCTGCACACGCATCTGTTACATGTCTTGAGCTTTACTTCCACATCTGTAGCCATCCTTGGCCAATAAAAACGGGCTCGAGCAAGATCAAGGGTTCTTTCCATACCCAAATGACCCATATTGTCATGCAGTTGCTCCATGACAATAGGCCTCAGATCTTTTGGGAGAACAAGTTGGTAAGTTGTATGATCACCAACTACTCTTTTCCTGTAAAGAATATCATCCCTCAGCTCTAACTTCTTCCATTCTCGCAGAAGAAATGGGAGTTCTGGTAATTCTTTCCTCAGTACAGGTAAGGAAGGTTTCCCTGATTCCAATTGTAAGACTATCTCCTGTATTGCTGGATCAGCTCTTTGTTTGTCTTTCAGCTCTTGCACTGTCAATTGAGAAATTACATTTAAAGGGTTCGCGGAAAAAGGCCCATTCTTATAAATTGCCAATGGATGCATAATTACCCGAAGGGACCGTAGGGTGGATTTGGATCCCGTTAGCCTGTTATTTAAAGGACGATTGGGAGGTTTCTGCTTACCCCAAATTCCGCATGCTTCCATTAGCTTCCCCCGGAATAGGGGGGTTTGGACACCTGTAGGGG